TTAATTCTATAAATATCGTCATCAATTGTGATGCTTGAGCGTCATCACGGTTATTATCTGATCAATTGATTTAGATGTTTGAGAACAGCTTAAATGGATTCTTTTTTTACTTAGACGCATTGATAATTCATTGAACCATTAATAAAGCTCTGATTGATGTGTTTTTTCATTTGCATTTATTTTTAGCATTAGATAATCAAGAAAAATATTTATGATCAGAATTATAAAAATTATAATCCAACCATATCTTGCTGATACGTAATTTCGTAGTATTCCAACTCATCTCCCACTTTTTCCTCCGCCTCTAAAAAAACATTATCATTGTTCATCTTTACAGCAATGACCTTGACATAAAGTCCATCTTCGAGTTTGATTTTACGGTCCACAAGATATGAAGCTTTGACCAATAAAGAACGAATTTTCTAAATTTTTAAGAAAGAGTCAACAACATTTCCCACTAAATATCACTTCACAAATGAATACCTTTTTTGATAGATTTTTATCACTCTTATTTGCCTTCTTTGGGGAGGAGTAATCCAGAAATTTCGGATCTTTATTTACATATTCTGGCGGACTATTAAAAGAGATGGCATTAGTTTTTACTTGAGACTGTGTTTTCGTTTTATAATTAGAAGAAGCAAGATGTCAGCTTACACTTTAGCAAGAAATTCCTGGAATTGAGCGCGAAATCCTTTCTCTTTTGTTGTTCTTTCAATCCATTCGCAAGACAAATTGATCCTTTCTTCTTCTTCCTTAAATGCTCTGTAGAAAGAGACACATCAGCAAAGAGTTCAAGAAAACAAAGCTGATAAATTACTCACTTGATTGGGTCAAAACCTCTGGCTTTACATTTTTCTGGGTCCAAATATGTTGTGCCGTATATAGTAGTAGTTAAACAAGCGTCATACTCCTCATATGTTTTTTGAGATTCTCTGTAGATGTTGCCAATATCTGGCTCTGTGAGATTTGTCCATAAGTATGTGTAAATAGCTTAGCAAAGTAATAGAAATTTCACAAAAAAAGTCACACTTTTGTCATTTCCTGGGACGTGAGACATAACGAGAAAATTTGACTTAGCACATGACCTTTTGCTAATTCGATTTACTTATTTGCGCCGGTAAACACAAACCAAAAAAGGAAATCAATTTTGTAAATAAACTAAGTGCCGATGATAATTTTATGCATTTTTGAACGAGTAATACGAATAGTAGTAGAGTACTAGCTCTTAAGACCCGGTCGGTGACCGGGTTCGAGTTTCTAATTTTTTGCTAATTCTTAGGCCTTAATGTTATTA